CCGATACTACCAACAACTCCATCACTCGACTTCGATACCGTCGATTGGTCAAGCCACGAGCGCCTGCTGATCATCGACCGCTTACTGGCCCGCCAGGTCTTTCGGCCTCTTATGGCGGACTTTTGACCCCCTCAATCCTCCCCTATGAGACGCAGCTGGAAGAGGAATGGATTGAAGAGCCTGTTTTGTGTCCTGATGAGACCTTGACTGATGCCGTTGAAAGAGTCATTAGTTTGAGCCAGGACACCAGCAAGGATCATTCGCTGGCATCTTCTCAAACACACAGTGACACTCGCATGAGCACGGAGGTTGAGGAGCCTCTTTCTATCACAGCTCCCGCCACACCAGCTCTAGCCCCAGCACCCCTTGAGATCCCTCGTGTTCAGTGCAAGACAGTTGTTCTTTCTGCACTCGAAGACAGTATTCGCGAAGTCATTGATATTCGTGAAAAGCGACACTTGGAGACAAACCACCTTAGAAATGGTCGATCACCAAGCCCACTTCACGATGCCATTAGCATGTGGCTAGACAATCTCGATATTACCGACGGATGAGCCGATTGACGCTCTCCTGATTTCATGACTTTATGACTTTGCTTTTTCGTTTTTATCATCCGCATACAACATTTTGTCTGGCGGATCTGCGATCGTGATCGTCATCGGACTTTTCCTACCAAGACCTCCAAATGATACCCCATGTGTTATACTTGTTATGCACATGAACAACCACCCCTGGAAACGGTTCTGCCACGACAAGAGTGTAAAGGAACCCCTCTAATTTTTCTTTGCTTTTTTTGTCATTTATTTTGAAATAGACCTAGTGTGGTATTCATGGGTCGGTCTTACTTTTTTATTATTAGCGAGAAATTTTGCTTTTGATGTGCTTCCTGGCGAAGTTAACCATATTAGAGGTTGGCGTTTCGTGGAATGGAATGGGGATAGCGATAGCCTCGGAGTTTGGTGAACAATTATATGCTATTATTCCTACATCTGACGAATTTTCCCCTCTGACTTTAAACCCTTATGTTGCGACAGGCGACTGTGATCCTGCTTTTGAACCAACATGTGCTGCCAGATCGTAGAATCATTATTGTGAAGATAACAATAGTCAATTTGCTTTCTCACGGTGGGACGAAAGACCGCAGCATCTTGTCGTCACTTCTTAATAAGACAAAGACTTGCCAAAAACAATTGCATTCTTTTCTCTATATATTGACCCAACGCCATGCACCACTTCATCTGCAAAATCACTTTCTCCTGGCTGGCCGAGCGTTCTTGAGCCTCTTTTTCTCCTTCTCGATTCTCGCTTTGCGGATATCCTCTCTGCCCTTGAGTTCCTTCTTGCTGCCCATACCATCTCTGAAGCGTCCCACGCGCTTCTCTCTCGCCTCGTCGACACGCTTCTTGCGAACCTCGAAGTCGTCGCGGTACTTGTCTGCCTCCTTGGGTGCCTTCTCCTGCTTGTGCTTGTAGCGCACTCCCGAAGGGAGATTGGCAACATGGCTAGTAGAACCAGGACGCACTTGCTCGCCGACGTGAGGAAGCTTACCGAGGCGGTTGGCGCGCTTCCACTTATCGAAGCGGCCGCTTTGAAAGCTGGCTGCGATCTTGACACCACTTTCACCGCGAACCATCTTGGCACCCTTGGAGCCGTCGTCATCGTTCTCCCGAGAGACGTACTTCCTGGACTTCTTGTCCCAGCGCATCTTGGAGCGAGTTGGCTCGCCGAAGCTCTTGGCATTCTCATCGTTGGTGAGATCCATGGTCACGCCACGAGCAGCCTCCACAAAGTTAGAGGAATCCTGACCACCAGATGACACACCGTAACCGCGCTCCTCGGCAGCGTTGAATGTCCGGGGCGTATAGGACATGAAAACTTCCGAGTCGCGCCAGTCTGTTCGTCCTTTTTTAGAGTTTGTGTTGGTGACAGTGACTTCCAAACCATCATCCGACTCCTCATCAACATCCATCTCATCCACAACCTCCTCTTCCTCATCAGAACCGGCACCCGCCGCAGGGGCTGCTGGTATATCATCGTCAATTCCTTCGAAGTCGTCGTCTCCCTTTGCCTCGGTCTGTCTTCGTGGGGTGATTCTCTTTCTAAGTTGCTTCATTACTTCGGCAGCCTCGGTGGTACCCTTATCGCGGCGACCACCAATTTCAAAAATAGTTTCTTGAGGCCTGAAGCCACTGATTCTCGCCAACATATTAACGCGCGCTTGTTCAGCTCCATCGACATCTTCACCAAATAGCGGGTGAAGCTGTGTCCACCCCTGAGATCCGACCATGTCTTTAGAACGCTTTGCACTTTGGCTAGCAGCCGAATTTCTGGTTCTCAAGTAGAGCTTCTCGGCTTTGACAGCGACTCCACGTAGCGCATTAATATCTTCGCTTTCATGCAAGGACTTGTTGAACCACTCCACATGACCTTCAACAGCATCTCGTTTCAGGGCACCAACAACCACATCCTCCGAAAAGGATGGGTTCTTAGTCTCCTGGCCCACGACAAGCTTCTTGCCTAGGAACAGTTGAAGATCGATGAGATAGGGGGCATCAGTATCTCTCACAAGACTGTAACTCCAACCTCGTTGACCGGCACGGGCGGTACGACCAACTCTGTGCACAAAAACCTTTGGCTGAGGGGGAAAGTCAAAGTTGATGACATTGGCAAGAACCGGGATATCGATTCCACGTGCAGCAACATCAGTGACTACAAGAATGTTTGTCTTGCCCGTTCGGAAATCTTCGACTTGAATTCGTCTGGCAGTCTGATCGAGGGATCCGTAGACATAAGAGACCGCAAAGCCGGCGTAAATAAGCAAATTTGCGATGTACTCGACGTGATGCTTGGTAGCTGTGAAAATAATAGTAGAATGTTCTGTTGGCTTGCCGCCAGCACCATCAGCACCGCGCTTTCTCTTCTTCGATCCCTTCTCGGAGTCGTTGATCGCACCCGCAGGGGAGCCAACTGGCATCTTGACTACATCGTGAAGAATATGCAGCAAGGATCCCTCCTTTTCAGCACCCTTGACAGAGAAGAATGCACTCTCGAGATCAGGCGAAACCTTTTGCTCAGCGTCAAGTCGTACAAGACTAGGGTCTTGTAAACCGGCGCGAGCGAATTCGACTAAAGAGGCGGGTAGCGTGGCGGAAAAGAGTAAACTTTGTCTAGAAGGGGGGAGCGCATGAAGAATCTCAGTCAACTGCGCTGCGAAACCCATTTCGAAGAGACGATCGGCCTCATCGAAAACCACATATTTGATAGATGACAGGTCCAACGACATCTCAACCTTCAAATGAAGGAATCGACCGGGCGTTGCGATCACAATATCGGGGTTGGCGGCCATGTATCCGAATTGCTCCTCCAGGCTGTCACCACCAACCAATAGAACGCACTTCAAGTCGGTTCCTCGACTGAACTCCTTCACAACTTTCAAAGTCTGGATCGCAAGTTCTCGAGAGGGCGACATGATAAGCGCTCGAGTTCCGAACCTACCGCTGTGGGCGCGCAACTTTTCGATCATGGGAATGACGAAGGCGGCGGTTTTTCCTGAACCTGTCCTGGCCATACCCACTAAATCCTTTCTGTCGAGAATCAAAGGGATAGCTTTTCGTTGAATTGGAGTAGGAACCGAGAAACCCTTTCGTGTAATAGCTTTCAAGAGATTGCTGTTTAGACCTGTGATAAATTAGTATGGATTCTCGACTCCCACCATGACTTTCTTTACCCATTGCCTGGAAACCTCCACCCTTCTTGACTGTTCTTCCCTTCAGATTGGTGGCTTTTCGGAAAGAAGCCGCCTGCTGTAAGGCAATGAAGGCCTCATCGGTATCATCGTTGCCTGGCTCTGGGCCGTTCAAGAGACCGTCAAAGTCGAAGTCATCGCTGCCGTTCTTGCCAGTGGCGTTGTCGCCTTCGCCAGGGTAAAGAGATCCGAAGATATCAATCTCCCCTTCCGAGGGGGTTGGTGATGCGCCGCGTTGTGGCATTGTAACGCGCTCTTGGGAAGAATTATATGTAGAGTCGGAATAGTATAAAGAACAGTAGCTCTTTCCAATATTTTTTTCTGTTATCTTATCTCGCGGGGCAGCTAAGTGGGTCACTTTAGCGCCACCCGTTAACTCAACATACCATACCACATTGGATACTTGCCTACGCCTCCAGCTTCAACTTTGTTCTTTCATTATTTCCAACTTTGCGAAGTTCTCAAGCACGCTGATCAATCCAAAATGGCCAGCAAAGACTCAAAAGAAGACAAAGACGCGCTCGATGCGCTCGAGCTCGAAGCCAAGGAATTCGACAAGGTAAGCCTGCGATAAACCTGATGTATCATGACTCCTACTAACCTCATGTACAGGATGCTGAGATCGACCGTATCTTGAAAGCTTTTCGACTTGATGCGTACGTCAACAATTGAATTTGAATTTCGAGATTCTGATCTAACACTTTCAATAGCTACGCTGTTCTCGATCTCCAACCCGGTGTTCCAGACTCAGACATCAAGATCACATACCGCAAGAAGTCCCTACTTATCCATCCCGATAAGACAAAGAACCCACTAGCCCCGGATGCTTTCGATCGACTAAAGAAGGCCCAGACTGAGCTCATGGATGAGAAGCACCGCGAACGACTAGATGAGGCTATTGCAGATGCGCGCATGCTACTTATGCGTGAGAACAAATGGACTGTGGACAGTGAAGAGCTCAAGACAGAAGATTTCCGAAAGATGTGGCGCGCAAAAGCGCGAGATGTCCTGATTGACAACGAACACCGCCGACGCCGACAGATGAAGGCCCAACTCCAAGAGGAAGGCCGCGAGCAACGACGCACCGATGCCGAGTTGGAGGAGCGCAAGCGCAAGCGACAGCATGAACAAGATTGGGAATCTACCCGGGATGAGCGGATCAGCAGCTGGCGACAGTTTCAGAAAGGGCCGGGCGGCGATAAGAAAAAGAAGAAGAAGCTCAAACCTATCGGCTGATAGTCTGGGGAGATTCACGATGGAGTTTACTTTGATGACAGCACGAAAGGGACACGGCTACACTACACACATTGTTGCGCTGGTATGTGAGTTAATTGATAACGATGAACGGTTTGGACTCTAATCAAGTCAGACACCACAAAGATCTACTCCTCACTCAACATCGAAGCGGTCATTATCGACCAAGGTAGGTACCGTGAGCGTAATGCCCCATCGCCATCGTAGGATTGCATTCTATCTATATTCGTAGCATCGTTCATATCAATGTGTATGTACCGTATAGTGATTTTTAACTACAAAACTGATGAGGAGAGTGGCCTCGCTGGGGTTTCCTAGCCCCTTCTTTCTATACTACAGGATTAGTATACAACAGATCTGACGCTGTGGCAGATCGACGTGAGTAGTAGTTGGGCTATCGTAACCCTCCACCGACGCCATACAACAAATAATAACAACCTTTTGAACACCAACAAATGCGCTTCTTCCGTTCCTCTATGTTGATAATTCTCCCAAGCATATGATACAATTCATGAGCGAAATATCTTTTATTTCTTATCGTTGTCGTCAGGCTTCTTGGTAGAGCCGTCATTCTGACTTCCATCTTCATTCGGCTTTTGGTGAGCGGGGTGGTTGGTCAGAGTATGCCAGAGTGACTTGAGGAAGCCCTCATCTCTATGCGATTCAGGATCGTTTGAATCCCTTTGAAGGCGGTCAGCACATCAGTCGTCACAATTGTGCATGATATAACTCCTTACCTTGAAGAACCAACGCCCATCACCCGCTTGGCTGTCTTATCGCCCATCTCGTCCGCAAGCACCTCAACAATGGTTCGCTGGTTGGCGCTCAGGTATTTAGGCATAGTAACCCTGTACTCAACCTTGAGGTCACCGTTTCCACCGCGTCGGGAACCGAGGCGCTTCATTCCCATGCCAGGTAGGGTGATCTTATCGCCGGTGTTGGTTCCGGTAGCAACCTTGACGTTGACTGTTCCATCCAGAGTCGGAATCTCGGCGTGTCCACCCAGCAAAGCAGTTGTGAGAGGGATATTGGCTGTATATAAGATATTGGAACCGTCTCGTCGGAACTTGGGATCCTTGGCGACGCGCACAAAGACATACAGGTCTCCGTTTTGGCTACGGGCATTGGGTTCAGCAGCCCGGCCAGTAGGGGCTGCATCACCAGCGCCGTCAACTCGGAGTCGCATGCCATCTTCGATACCTGCAGGAATGTCCACTGTGATCGTCTTCCTCTCCCTCACAACACCACTTCCTGAGCAAGGCTTACACTCGGATCCCTTGGGGATAACCGTGCCAGTGCCGTCGCAAGTGCCACAAGTGGACGCCATTTGAAAGCCGCCCTGCATATAATGTATCCGTGTACCAGATCCATCACAAGCGCTACATGCGCTCCTCGACGTACCAGCCTTCATACCATTGCCTTTACATGTGCCGCAGGTGCTGAGTGGTGTAATCGAGATGGTCTTGGTTGTGCCCTTCGCTGCCTCCATGAAACTAATAGTAGATTGGACTTCGATGTTTTCGCCGACCAGGATCTCCTGCTGGTAAGTTTGCTGTCGTGCTCGGCGGCCGAAGCCTTGCTGCCCGGTGAATGCTGAGAAAATGTCTTCGAAGTTGACCCCAGCTCCAAAACCTCCCTGACCACCGAAGCCGCCGAAACCACCTTGTCCGCCAAAACCACCAAAACCAGAAAACGGGTGTCCTCCGCCGAAACCGCCACCCCCCCCGGGGGCGCCTCCTCCACTCGGGTCAAAGCCAGCGGCGCCGAATTGGTCATACTGCTCGCGCTTTTTGGGGTCGGAAAGAATCTCGTAGGCGGACTGAATATCGGCGAACTTGTCCTTCGCTTGAGGGTCTTTATTTGTATCAGGATGGAACTTTTTCGCCAGGCCGTAATATGCCTTCTTAATATCGCTGGCGCTCGCGGCCTTGTCGACACCAAGAGCTTGGTAAGGATCCTTTTGCTGAACGGCATATGTAGCATGGAACAACTGAACGGCGTTAGAAAAAGCCGAGCTATTATATCAATTGATATTTCTAATCACTCACCCGCTTCGCAGAAGGAGACTGAGATGCCTTTCCAGGAGACGGTCGACGCTGAGAACCAACATGCCACGCCGCAGTATGAAGCTGGGCACCTTTCCTTAAGCATTGAATCTTCGGTGCATTTTGCGCCAGGACCCGTGTGGGACGGGCGGCCTTTGATATCAAACTAGGATTCATGTCGAACTGCAGCAATTCATCTGATTCTAAAAAATCATATAAAGAAGCGAACAATATTCAGAGGGAAAAGGAAAAAAGAGGGTAACCGGGAGGAGAGGGAACTGTCACAGACGAATAGCGGAATAGGTCGTGATTCTCTTTTTTTCGAGACCTATCTCGAACTTTTCCACGGTCGGACAAGCCTCAGGCATCCAGCTTCGTCATAAGGGCCGGCTTCGGGCTACGCTTTTTAGATGAATGCCTATTGGTCGAAGCTTATGACAACCTACCTGAAGGAAAAGCCGATGTAAAGCTAGTCGAAGATCTTCTAATAAATACGATCATGCGTGGGAAAAGCGTTGAGCGACTGTTTCTCGAGTCTTAAATTGTCTCGGTATTTCGTCTTATAACGTTGACGGTATTCAATCCCGGGTTCCAGCGCATCATGGAAGGACGTTGATCTCTAAGCACTTATGCCGAAACTACCCCGACTAGCCGAGGATTTTGAAACACATTTGAGATCCACGAAAAGCCGAAAACAATTCAGAGAATCGCAACTGGTTCAAACTGTGGTATACGTAAGACAAAGTTCCCGCATTAGCTCCAGTCTTTGTGGGTTGGGCTTGAAAACTTCCTTGCATGCTCGGCTTTCTCTAGAATACCTAGGCTGCTAGGAGCATTGTCATGGCTTGTCATGATAATGCTTCACGGGCGCACTACATGTTTTCCTAGGACAGTGAATCTTACTACTGTTAATTTCTTCAAATTGACAAAGAAGACCCAGTTACGGGCAATCCTGATCGAGTTCATGCGAGCTTGTGGTCCATGCGCATATCCACAAACATAATACAGAACTCAAACTTATCGCCCATTAGAGAAGAAAGTATAACCATGATATTCATGCTCTCTACCTGTAATAGTATAGGTAGTAGGTGGTATATACTCCGCGAGACTCTGCATACTATCAAAATAGCCTGCAAATGAAGTTAAAGAAACCCATTACCTGCCATGCCAGACGTGGTATCCCTATGATGTAATGTGAAACCGTGCAAGACCTTGAGTCCATCGCAATAACAGACATCCCTATGCGGCCAATGCAAACAAGCCTGTCTGCTCGTGTAGTCATATATAGTGTAGAAGTAAAAAAAATCGCAAGCTGTTCGAAGCAACTGATGCTGTAACGCTTCATTTCAACGCCCAAAACTCCATACCGATATGCCCATCCCTTGCGTAAAACTTAATTGCTCACTTATGAGCACCCACCCCTCATTTCATAAAGTTCGTATTCTTGCCGCCCACGTATGGTTTAGAGATACGATTGGGGTCGTGACGAATCTTGTAAATAAAGTCGACGATCACATCGTTCTCCTGGACGCCCATTCCATTAAAATGTTTGCGCACAGAGAGCGCAAGCTGGTCTTTGCTTTGTCGCCGGGCTTGTCGACGTCGGACCATGGTCGGAGAGTGTAAACCAACGCTGTTGGGCTGCGACAGGATCCATTGGCAGTATGGGTTGGAGAAAGAGGTTGGGGTATTCAGACGGTGCTCGCGACGGTAGGCATGGAGGACGTTTCGTTCGAAGGAAGCCCATTGTAGCTGTAATAGACTCGAAGTTAGCAGCTGTAGCAGAATGTTGGAGGCGAACGCGAATTGACATGGAAGAAGGGCGAATGGTTTAACAGGCGAACGAGACACTGAATTGAAGCAGGGCAAATGCTTTGGACAAGCTCTATGACCAGACATGCTATCATAACCGTGCCATGCCTCTGATCCATGGATTCTCGAGCCCTGTCAAATCATCTGCAACCCGGAGGGCGGGAGACCGGAAGAGCGATCGAAGATCATGGTAGGGAGGAGGGGGTTGACGAACGCTAGGAGGAACAGGCTCAGCAGGCGGCTGAGGAACAGCAGCAGCAGCATTCTGAACCTCTCGAAGATGAGAGTGGTTTTGTTGACTGGCGTTTCTGCGCATCTTTGTTGAAGAATGGCCGTTTCCACCTTTTTCTTTGGAATTGGGAGCGTCCGACTTGGAGTCGTCGTGATTGCGGGAGGATTTAGCGGGTGGCATGGTGGGCTGTGGAAAAGTGCGTCGATGTCGATAGTAGTAATCTGAGTCGTCGTAGAGAAGAAGGACGATGAAATCTAAAATTGAGATAGGTTACATAGTAGGATAAACAATGCCTGATTTGAGTGAGGAATTTGTGGGAGAGGAAATGAGGAAGGGGAGAGCTGGGTCAAGGTTGGCCGCTGTCGGTAGATCCAGAAAAATAATGGAATTTGGGTCACGCACCACTGCTCCTGTCAGACGGGACGGGGGACTGCGCTGCGCTTGCGCCTGCCGCACCTTCGACGTCACAGCCCCAGCTCTCCAAATTCAAGCGACCACAAAATGGAAGGATTTACTGACCGGGTAGGCAGGGGTGAAAGACCCTGAAAAACGAACTCACCCAGCCATTCATTCATTACCTTGGAGGGTGAAATGGATCACTTTTTGCAAAGTTACCTTAGTACTAATATATGTCTTACCGTCCTTCAATTTTATTTTTTCAAAGCTCCTACCTATATTAAATAGACATCGCAAAAATCATTACACAAGAGAAGATAGTATTTATTCTGGAAGGTTTCCATTAAGTCAAGACAGGTACTTAATTTACTTTGGAGAAGCAGGGGACAGACGGGACACAAAGCCCGAGGGTCCGGCCCGGTGGGTGGCTCAAACGTCCATGTCGGGCTGCCCGTACCCTTTCAATTTAGTGAATGTTACAAAGTTTATAGCGAACGAAGCATGCTCTTCTCCTGACGCCTCACTAACGTCGATCGTCTCGTTTCCGGTCGGCGAGACGTAGTCTAGGGAGCAACTACCTAGATATGTTCTCTATGGCCAGCCACTGAAAAAAGAATTCCATGTCAATTCTGGCCGGACCTGACTAGGACAGGCACCAAATGCTGAGCTTTGTGTAAGACCTAGGTACTGAGCAGCCAAGAAACCATTTGCGTTCATAATGGCAAGAGACAGGCTCCGATATTCGGCATATCACTTTATTCTAGGTACCTTATAACCTTGGCACTTTTGGCCTCCACGTGCCTCTATTCACTAGCAGCATGCCGTGCTTCACCTCCATTTGCTGCCCCATAATCAACGGTGCCCCTCAGTAATAATGTTCCGATCATAGGTATGGGTTAGTGGTACAAAAGACAAGCGAGGTCGCTTGAATGGAAAAATTCTTTTCTATTTTGATTGACTGAAATAACTTGGTAGGGACCCCCTCATCAGTGGCCACCTATCATCCGACTCTCGTTATTCGCAAACCCTACGTCTCTCCAACCATCGATCAATTAAGCAGTGTTACATACTACGTTAGCATTGGCTTTCAGTGGCCCCAAAATCTGTCATGAGATCTCTCCGGATGAATGTCTAATGTGGTGGGACCTGTCTTCTGCCAACTAAAGACCCCCACGTTACCAATCAAGTTTAACTGCCGTCTTGGTGTGAGTCGATCAGATCAAACAGTCAATCGCTCGTAAAGCGCGGCATCATCTTTATTATTAGACTCTTGAATCGTCTTGGAACGAGATCTCGAGATCCCATCCCCACTTGCGATCCGCCAGCTTGGGACGAAACACGCAGTCACATCTAATCATGTGCACTTGGTCTGCCAAGTAAGGCGATTGACAGACACATCGGAAGTCGGAGATTTTGTTGGGTTTTGATTGATTTGCTGTCTACCACAATTGTGCATATTCTATTCGTCTCGGCGGAGTCTTTGATCATGAAATATAGGACAGGGTTTTTTTTTACTACTTCTCCCCTCGATAGAGAACTAGTCAGGTCAGTCAAGTTAAGAATTTATCGACGGTAGGGAGCGATTTTGAGTGCCATGGAGCTCGAACGTAAAAGCTTGGCAGATTAATATGTGCTACCATGTCGTGCATCGGAATCATGGTCACACCGTATGACAACATGAGCAATCCCTCTGGTCGAAATACTCTAATCAGCCGGTGCAGTTTAAAGACACCATGTACACATTTAACAACCACGCTGCTGGCAGATACTATGTAGCTTGTTTTCATGCAGGATCCATTCATCTGGAGGGATGTTCCCCGGACTCTGCTATCCCAGTCTACAAGTCGAGTTCTCCTATCTACAGTACTCCGCAATCTATTACGTGGATGTTGAGATTTCCATGAGTGAATAGAACTCGACATCTGCATGAAAGGCGACCAATAGAGAGTATTCCTGATAAGGGTTCAACTACACGCTGGAGTTTGGACAAATCAGGACACTCGAATTAGGATGAACCTGCATACCCGAAGGAAATAGTTGCAGGTGGAGGAGATGCGAGCCAATGTCATTCCCAGTCATATGTATCAGCCGCTGTGGAGAAGGGAAACCCGGGGGCCTGATCAGCCGGCATGTTAGCGCTGAGACAGTTGACAAGTCTCGAAGCTGCCCTGTTTTGTCTATTATTTTGTGTCTGTCTGAGCCTCTGAGGAGCGAGCAGCACTAGCAGTATTGTTTAGTGTCATCATTTTGCTGAGAACGCCATCTTGTCATACATTTCCGCATTGCAGAAATAGAGCAATGTGTTTCTTCCTAACAGCACAATCCTGGCCCAAGCAGGTGCCCAGAACCAGCTTTTTGATTTTGTGGTGGTACGGCTCCATATGAGTTGGAGAGAACAACAGCCTCGTTCAACTACGGTCAGTAAGTGCCAAGTGTTGTAGTGTGCCAATCTAACATCCGTTTAGTATTTCTAGCAAGTGACGAGTTTGGCCTCGAATTGCAAGATATCGGTTAAAAACTCAGATAGTTGCTGCAACGTAGTTATTAGATGTGCAGATTTATCATGTCAGATGAAGCCTATTTAATTCCTCGAAGATAAAGTCGAGAATAAAAAGAAAAAAAGAAATAACCATGCTGGACAGTAAGACGGTAAATCGTTGCCAATTACAGTAGTCGAATCGTGCTGCAGATCAATGATCGCCAACCATGTAAGACTGGAGAAAGACAAAGAAATATGAGTAAAACTGCTATATAAGTGTTTTCGTAGATAGTCTTTGACTTGATTTCAAAGAGTTACGTACTGCAACCTTGAATACTTATGATAAGCGTCTGATGGTGTAGGTAGAATCGAGCTGACGAGCATGGTTTGTAAAGCTTGAAGCGGCCCGCTGGCTGGCAAGTAGACGCAAGGACTACTTACTAAGGTATCCAGGTATAATAAAGGTAGTTTTGAATGGTCCGTGGGGTTTCGGTTCCCTTCTTGGCTCGGGGAGAGTGGTCCGAGATTGATCGCGATATGTCGTCGATTGTAAGCGACTACCTACCTACCTCTATTGTATGCAGTATGCACGAAAGAGAAAGCACAGACTGCGCTTTTTTTGTCCAATACTAAGAAAATTGATCAAGACAGCATGGTTGGTGTCTGACCCAGTACCAAGTGCTTATAGCGTAGCAATGTCTCGGAAAATCTTTCAAACAAGGCCACGAATATGGTTTGGCTGATGCTTTATGGCGAACGTGATAACTTTTAGTGAACTTGAAGGCGTTTACTTAAATACAGCTGCAGTCTTAAGGTAGAAAGAAAAGCCAGGGATGTCCGGTTGCTTTGGGTAGACAAAAAAAAATGTGAGAACAGACGTTATCACATCCAAAGCACAACATCCCTGTGCAGCCCATCCTTCTTGGAGCCAGGGTCTTTTCATCCTAAAGTTGTGAAACCTGGTCGACTCTGGAATGTCGAGTTTGCCATGTATCCATCATATAAGTATGAATGATCTAGGTGAGTTAATGAACGACGTATCCTCGTCTAGGTACTGTCTATCTCTTTAACGAGATAGAATATAATGATTTTATGTGTAGTAAACAAAACTGACATCAAAAGAATGAAATGAATAGGATTCGAAATGAGGCTGCGCTAAATGGATTGTGCAGGGATATGAGCAGTAGTGTGCGTGGAGAAGAAGCAAGCGGACGCTTTACCGAGAAGGCAAAAGGCATGGTACGAAAAGGGTTCAGGCTCCATTGGCATCCATGATGATATTGGCGGCTTGCACTCGACCCTTTTACCCCATCCATTTCGTTAAAGTCCATTCAAGTCCCCCCACTCTCTCCCCCAGGTCGTTTACTTCAGTTCAAGTTCAGTTCAGTTCACTCCAGCCCATCCCACGCCGCGAAGCCTTTTTATGGCCTATTGTTTACGTTACAACATAACTTATGCTATTTTGCCTTCTTTTTACGGCCGATAGCCTTGGAGTTGCTTCTTATTATACGCGCCTGATTTGTCGTTCCATTCAGTATTGTCTCATATATGCCTATTCCTGATTACCTACCTACAGACAAATCTCAGCCCCCTCAATCCAACATTAGAAAAGAAACGTCACGCTCTCGAATGTACCTAGGTAATCTTATTAGCTGGTCTTTGTTTCTCTTTCTTCGCTGCTCTTCATCGGCTTCCAACATCCTTCTGTCACACTTGTGTTGCAATCTGCTACACGTCTGTGTATAATAAATCGATCCTCCAGGTAGGTAGCAATGATATTTTCTTCATTCTTCTACATCTACTATTTAGATCCCTATCCTTTTTTTTCTTTCTCTTCACGTTCGATCTGCCCTTCACCAACGCCACTCAGACTGGACTGCAGGGACCGCATTTTGGCACCTATACCTGTCGCTCTTCTTCTTTACCTCACCAGAAGAGCCAGAAAATCACCAGATTACCGTGGATTATTGGATGATAGCGGCCAAATATGATCTCGTCTTTTCTTGTCACTATCTATCACTCGTCAGATTCCATATCCAATATTGGGGCCGGCCTTGGTTCCTGCTGCCCAAATCGCCCGACCTTGTCTGCTACACAACAATGGATTGATTTGGTTATACCTCTTGGAACCAAGCTTCCAAGGGTGATCTCGTTACAAACATCAGTCAAAGCGTCCCGTTCTTTTACCGAATGGTTAGGCGAGTCGTAGATAATCGACAATTTCACATCGGCCTTATTGAACAAACTGGCAGGCCTACTCGAATAGACTGTGCCTGTACCCACCCCCACGAAAGCCTCACCTCCCCCAGCACCGCAACGGTATCTCGCTCTCGGTGGCAGCCGCTCTCAAATCTCGCATTCCCCTTCTCTATAGCTGAAGAAGGGACGTTACAAAACGGATCAGCAATGCGACAACTCACAACCTCGTTCATTTTGGCTTCTCTCTCCAGTCATGTCATGGTCCCACATCCCGTCCTCCCCAAGCTGGCCCGTGGTTCCTCGATCCACCTACCCTCATTTTAGCCGCAGAAACACGCGACACTTATTGTCCTTCGCTGCTAACATTGCGGAACTAGTCCGACCTCATCGATTCTAATAAAGTCATCATCAAAGTCTGACGTCGAGCTTTAATCAGGCAAATACCGACGTTCCGTTCTGTTACACTACGATTTTTATTGGCCGTTGTCAGCCCGTCGCCGTCGAATCGAGACATGCGTTACCTGCAGCATCATATCGATTTATAGGGGTCTTTGGCAAAGCAATTAACCTACACGATTTATTTCCGCCCAGTCCCACTCACGCGGCCCCCCGGTCATAACCAAGTCAACCCCGCTATTAAACCCAGCTGCAACGGCACGCTTTGCGACAGCGCAGCGCAACGCAGCAATTACCAAAACTACATAGTACAGTACGCGCCCTGGCCTACCAACACCCGGCTGCTGGCTATCTATTGCCTGCCAGTTCATTTATACACCGGCTTGACACCCCAGAGTTCTTCTCTTATTATATCCAAGTGTTCCGCACTCAACAACCTCTTCTAAGCGGGTCATGGCATCTGTTATAACGAACCAAGCGAAACCAACTTTACCCATTTCTCCGGTAAGCTCCGGCGCAATGGGACCTCAAAATATATCGCCTCGCGACACTTCAGATCCCTCAGCGCGTGGTCGGCGAAGAAGCCGCTCACCCGAAAATGACGGTCCTGAACAAGATGCAAGAGGCGAAGGAAACCAAGACGGTCCAAATGGCGCATCCTCCAACTCGGACGGTCCGGGCCCTGCCAGAAAACGAAGACGCAGTCGAAAGGGTTTGGATAAGAGGTTTGAGTGCAGTGCTGAAGGTTGTGGAAAGAGCTATTCGAGAGCCGAACATTTGTATGACTTGACATTGTGCAACTCAACGACACATATGCTGACATGCAACACAGATATCGACATCAACTCAACCACAACTCCAAGCAAACTTACCACTGCACTTTTCCTAACTGCACACGGACATTCGTTAGAGGTGATCTTCTCAAAAGGCATATGGACCGACATGCGGCAAAGGGATCACAACTTAATCAACGAGACAGCATGGCCGGGCACATGGCGCCAGCTATCGCTCCTGGCCAACCACCCAACTTCAGCCGAAACAACTCTATGGATTACGGAAAGTCCCAGCCAACGAATATGTCTTATCAAACGTCGCAAATCCCAACACCCAGTCCCTACTCGCCCATGGGTAATGCTCCAGCAGGGATGTACCACAACGGGCATTTGCCTAATGGCATGGAAAACTACATGTCGCCAACTCAAGGCTACGATAATCGCACTCCCCAGCTTAGCCAACCTCAATCGCCTGCAATGACACAAAGACCTTCAATATCTGCCGGAAATTCACAGTACAACGTGATATCCCCCATTGCTAACCAACATGGTTTCCCAAACCAACAAAACGTGGCACAGAACTCATTCGTCAGCCAGCAGAACGTTATGCCTATGAACTTGCCTCCTGCCCAGTACTCTAGTGGACAGGATTCTACCGTTGTTACTTCGGCTGAGTACTCGGAGCCAGGCACCACGCAAGCCAGCGAGATGATGATGCTTGATCAGATGGCCATGCCTGCGACTGTCCCTGTCTTCGGAGAAGGTGGTGATCTGAACAAGTCCCCTTACGTTGGAATGCCTGAGGATTTTATGGCTTATCTTTTCAATTCCCCAAGCCAGGCCATGACTCCGGTTATGGGTCCAAACTACACCAAGTCAGTAGCTCCCCAAAATGCGTGAGTGACTGCACTAACCCTCAGATGTAGTTATGCGGAACTTCAAGGCAATCAGTTCAATATATCTCTTTTGGGCACTGACAGCAATTCACTGGGATATTTTCCAAGTGCTCCCCAGCAGGTCATGGCTGTCAACAATCTTCTCGATCAGCAAGTTCCCGAAGCCACAATATCTGAGGAGAAAAGCCAAGAATTGTTTGACTTCATCAAAGAACGCTTCCATGATAACAAGCATGCCCCACCTGACCGCCAATGGGCCGACCTACTGGAGGGCGATCGCTCGAATGGCGATCACATGCTAAGCAAGAGGATGATGCAGGCTTATATTGGCTCGTACTGGTATCATTTCAGTGACCAGATGCCCATACTTCATAAGCCTACGTTCTCGCCTGACAAAACTCCGAACCTCTTATTGCTTGCTATGATGGCTATTGGAGGTGCTTGTCTAGATCGGACACATGGACACAAAGTGACAAGAGCAAGTGCCCAGTTGTCCAACTTTCTTGCGTGGCATCTCCGTTGGGATATCTTCATGGATGTCAACTTCCGACCGCCTGCCAAACTATGGATCTTCCAATCCCTGATACTGCTTGAACTTTATGAGAAGATGTTTGCTACAAGAGAACTCCACGAACGGGCCCATATCCACCACGCCACCACAATCACCTTAATGCGAAGAGGACGGTCCCTGATCGGCAAATCTGCATTGGATTCTCCACCAAACCCTCGCGATGGATCCAACGGTTCTCGACAGTCCTCCACCTCCAGCACCACTGGAACGGCCGATAAGTGGTGGGAACATTGGGTCACCAACGAAGCGACCAGACGTGCGGCGTTCGCTGCATTCATTGTTGATTCAATTCATGCCACCATGTTTGGCCATTCAGCGGTCATGGTCGCTCATGAAATGCGACTCCCTCTCCCATGCGATGAATCCATGTGGAGAGCTGGAAGCAGCTCCGAAGTCTGGAGGATTGATTCAAACTTATTGTCGAACGGTATCAAGCCAACCTCGTTTTTGGAGGGTCTGAAGCGAACACTGAGTGGCCAAGATGTCCACACAACTTCATTCGGCAGAACGGTCCTCATGACAGGTCTCTTGAGTGTATCATGGCACATGCACCAGCGGGATCTCCAGGTCAACGTCCTTGGTGGTGGCATTATCCAAGCTTTGGGTGGCCGTGACCGATGGCGAGCTACTCTCACACGAGCATACGACACTTGGAAAGCAGATTTCGATAAGCATTTGGAGCGAAACGAAGCGGCTGATCCTTACCAGGACGACGCTACTAAGAGGCAAGAGTTCAATGTCGTGTTTGAAAGCCGGACAGTTTTACATCATTTGGCTCACATGGCTATGCACGCCGATATTGTTGACTGTCAAATGTTCGCTCGAGCAAAGCGTCTCCTTGGTCGAACTATCGGGCCTCAAGAGTTCAATAGTGCCCAAAGGCGGATCAAAGACCACTGGGCCCATTCGGCAAGGGCTAGAGATGCTGCTTTTTATGCAATCAAGTTTCTTTGCTCCGTTCTGGCTCCTGATCAGGTGTCCCCGGCGCACGCTGGCGGTTATCATCTTGATGAGCCATACGACGCCCGCGACGATGTTCTATTGAACCGGCCTTGGGTCATGTACTTTGCTGCTCTGGTCGTCTGGAGTTATGGCTTCGCACTGGAAGGTCCCTGTCCGAGTATTCCACTGCCGACCAACAAACAGGAGAAGCTTCAGCACATGAGAAACTATTTTATCAAGTTTGGCACGATTGAGAATCCGGCCGATTTGCAGAACAGAACAGGGTTTAACTCGAACACAGCTCTTCTAATGGTTCTCAAAGATACTTTCGAGACAACACGTTGGGAACTCCTCCACGAAGCTGCTACGTTGTTAAACAATTGCATTGTTTTAAATCAGGGCGGGACGATCGCCTGAGTGTAAGAAGACATTACTTTGCGGAAAGGTACAGCCTGGTGACTTCAGACATAAAGAGTATAAATGGATAGGGACGGCGCGCATGGAACAGTTTAAAATCGCACGAGACATGACGGACGGAATAGGGTGGTTTGTTTAGATAGAGTTTCATATGTCGGGCTGTCTTTTGCTTCAGTATACCCCTAGTGTTATTTTGCAGAATGTAATGGTTTTTTTCGAGCGAATATTTCAACAAACAATGAACTTCTTCTGTCCAACGTCAGCAAACAGAAAAAGAGGCGAAGTGGTATGGCGAATGCTATTTATACATACTTAAACACAACACACATGAAAGGCATGAACCGCTATTCAGTGACAACATAGTCTAAATAATGTACAAACCCCTCCTTCTCATCTCCCTGTCAGACTAGATCCGCCATCATACTGCACACTGCTTCTTCGGAGGAACGACATGGGACTATTGAGCCGCTTTGTTGGCGCTCCGTCATTCCCTCCCAGAACACCAGGCGGCAATCCAAGTGTCGGGATACTAGCTTCAGGCACTGCCTCCAACGCCGGCGCTGTTGCAGGCGTACCTTGAACCTTTTGACCCTTCTCTAAAGCTTCCCTGTAAAACTCCTCAAGCGCTGCCTTGTTCTTACAGAACTCGTCAATCTCGGCATTGAGAGAATCAGGATCAGGAGTTGTTGCGGGTATAGGTTTGTTGTACTGTTGGTCAGCTGGTTTCAGCGCTGGCGAGTGATAATAATGCGTTGGTTTGAGGAGGGGTGAAGATAGCGTTGCTGATTCTGTCATGCCAAAAGTTGAGTAGGGACCATACGATGCCATGCGACCGCCGCGTTCTATCGCAGGTGGCGGATCGATTGAGCGCATGCCCGCGGGTCGATTGCTGTACAAACGGTTTGCCAGAATCAAGAAATCACCTTCATCCGTAATCTCGGCCAGGAGAGTACCACTGCGGTGGATGTACTGGGTGTACTTGTAATCAGGCTTGCCCCATGAGTAGCTCACATCAGCATTGCTTGGGAAATTGGATGCCGCCTCTGTATCGAGGACAAATTCAAACTTTTTAAGAATCGCCGTTTGGTAGAAGTGCTTGTTTGGAGATGTTGTCGGGCCCAGTGAGTTGGGGTCAATGTACGTCTCAGGCTTCTGATCCGGAGGACGAGCTGCTAACTTGATGTGATATGGCCTTCTGAAAGGATTTGTCTCAGTAATTGTGCATGCCTCTTTGATGGGTAACTCGACAAGTCGCAAGCCGTACTGACTGGCTTCTCGGGCCCAGCTTTCAACTGCGTCTTCCACCAACTTCGTCGTCACGTTCATCCAGTCGATACGAATATGGTAACAGCTGTCGGGGTTGTGAAGACGGTCGTAATGCAAGTCAATCCTCTCTGGTCTGTACGACCGCTTGCGGTGGTCAACGTCGTACTTTATGACCTTGCTAAGCACCACTCTAGGCCGCTTTCCGCCATGGGGGAGTAATATAGTTGGTGTTGTTGAGGTTGACGCAGGGGAACCACTTTCCTCAACTGAGCGAGTCGACATTAACGTCCGAGGTGAATCTCGATTCGAAGATTCGATGCTTGGCGTTGGCGGCACCGTAGCCCGTCGGGTGTTGAACCATCCTACATGAGGCTTGGCAAACTCACTGGCGATTTGATAGTAGTAGTTACCATCTCGGAACTGGTGGCGCTTATCAACGTGAACAAATAGGCCCTTGTCTTTAGGGTTTGCAGATTTTAGTTCGTCATGCGCCATCAAGGCATTGC